CGTGTGTGTGTGTGTGTGTGTGTGTGTGTGTGTGTGTCTGTGTGTGTGTGTGAGCAAGGTGTAAACGGAGGGAGGGGGGCGCGGAGGGATTTTTTTCGGTTTACATTAAGGATTTTAGTTTTAGCTTTAGGGGTGAATAAGTTATGCAAAATAGGTTATTGCCGAGGTCGAGCAGTCTGTTTTCTCGCAGTACCCTTTGAAGGCATTTTCAAATGAAGTGTAGTCCGGGAACATTGCCCCCACCACAATTGAATTTCAATTTGAAGTATCTGAATATTCAGACATTTAAAAATCTCTAGCTCTAGAAATTGAATTCGATGCAAAAAAAAATGCTTCCTCCGAGTCCAGTCCTCGCAGAATGGCAGAAAGAAAGATGAAGCCGAAATCTCTCAAATAACCAAAATATCTCGAGAACGGTTCCGAGAAAAAGAGGTCAAGTTTATTTTCCCGAGCGTTCGGAGAAATAGTCACTTCGATTTTTTTTTAAATAATAATAATACTAATAGCACATAATCATTAATATTGTTCCGCGCAATTTACCATTCGGCGCAATCTCGCTGCGCATTTTAACAATCGTATAATTGCGCGGCAATGTAAAGATTGCGTTAATATCTTCTTTTTTTTTAATTCCCTTCCATCTATATTTTTTTGTTTATATCAAGGAACATTCACATACATTTTCAAAAATGTAAGAATATTAAAATGAAAATTAAAACTAACATGAAACTGATAAGAGCTCACAAGAACGATACAATGCCAAGTATCAAACTCAAAGTTCCCAAAGTACATTTCATTTTTTTTATTCCCTTCCATCTTTATTCTTTTACTCACACCAAGGAACATTTACATATATTTTCAAAAAAAGTAATATGAAAATTAAAAGTAACATAATATGAAACTGAAGACCTCACAAGCATGATACAATCAACATCATCATTGCCTTTCTCACCCTGGGTCAGGATATAGGCCACGAACAAACACTCTCCACCTTTCCCTATCCTGGGCTAGTCGCTTTTGTCACTCCATGTCTTCCCACTTTTCTGTACATTCATTTCCGTGACTCTTCTCCGGGTTCCACGAGGTCTTCCCCTTGATCTTTTACCCTGTGGGTTCCAATCTAACACTTTTCTTGTTATGCAGCTGCTTGACTTCCTGAGAGTTTTACTATGGGGAAGTAAAGAATACACCTGCCGTGGGGCGTGTCGTAAGAGGCGACTAAAGGTGCATAGGTCTGGCCACCCGAAAAGTGACATAATTTTGCGGAGGGCCAACTACCCGACCCAGTAAAAAAGGAAAGTTATAGAAACACGAACAAACATGATACAATGTCGGGTATCAAACTCGAAGTTCACAAAGTATATGCGATTTTATTTATTTCAGATTATTGTATAAATTATTTTTTATTCTTTTACTTACATAAAAGAACATTCATATATTTTCAAAAGTGTAAAATTATGAAAATCAAAATCAAAATTAAGATATGAAACAGAAGAGCTCACAAGAATGATACAATTATACGATTATTAAAACGCGCTGCACCAATCGGTTAATCGCGCGGAACATAGATAGATAGATAGATAGATAGATAGATAGATAGATAGATAGATAGATAGATAGATAGATAGATAGATAGATAGATAGATAGATTATAAACTACAGCCAAAAAAGGGGGATCTCAGCAACTGCAACAACAACAGAGGGATCACTCTTCTCTCAGTACTAGATAAGGTCTTCAACAGAATCATTCTGGAGTGAATCAAGACAGCAAGGGGTCCAACACTACGAGATGAACAGGCTGGTTTCCGGAAAAATCGTTCAATCACCTTCATATGGGCAGTCGATTGGCTGATGGAGGAAACCACCGGATGACACTGAAATGGTATACAGTGGACACCATGGACACAGTTGGGCGATCTGGATTTTGCAGACGACTTGGCGCTTCTGTCATACACCCAGGAACAGATGCAAGCAAAGACTCCAGTATTAAACAGCCTATCGGAGTCTGTTGGATTGAGGATCGACCCCTGAAAGTCAAGGTTAAGGTCCTAAGGACAGATGCACATCGAAAGGAGCAGGTCACAATAAAAGGAAAGACACTAGAAAACGCTGAATCCTTCTGCTATCTTGGGAGTATAATTAACAAAGAGGGAGGAACAGGTGCTGAAATACAGTCCCGCATTGGAAAAGCACATGCAGGCTGCTTTCATATTTAATTTTTGGATAAGATTTGGAAGACCAGAGATATCTCACTTCGAACAATGCTGAGGATTTTCAATTCAAATGTGAAGTCGGTCCTGTTGTATGGATGTGAGACATGGAACGCATCACAGACTTGCATAAAGAGGATTCAGGTTTTCTTGAACAGGTGTCTAAGAAAGTTACTGAGGATCAGATGGACAGACAGGGTCACCAATGTGGAAGTGTTAAGGAAAACAAGACAGACCCCAGTCAGAGAGGAGGTAGGAAGAAGGCGGTGGCGATGGACTGGACATACTCTCAGGAAGTCAGGCAGCTGCATAACAAAAAAAGTTTTGGATTGGAACCCACAGGGTAAGAGATTAAGGGGAAGGCCGCGTGGAACCTGGAGATTACTGGAGGAGAATCACAGAAATCGATGTTCTGAAAAGTGGGAAGACATGGAATAACATCAAGAGGCTAGCCCAGGATAGAGAAAGGTGGAAGGTGTTTGTCCGTGGCCTATACCCTGGTGCAGGGTGAGAAAGGCAATGATGATGATGCTGACGATAAACCACGGCATTCAAAATCAAATTTAATTATATACCCAAACACGCCGCAGCGGAAGAGGATTGTTTTGTTTCATGGTGCCAATGAGCGGGCGTACTCCAAGTTTTTAGACTCACACGTACACAACAATGGTGTCCAGTCTCGCAAACTTTAGAGATCTTCCTGCTTGTCCTTGATGATGTTGTGTGGGGAGTAAAGGAATGGCATATACAGTGTCAAAAGTCCTGGCATCTGTAATATATTTCGTTAGGGACTGGCTATTCTGTCCCGAGGCAATAGCCCTCTTTGTTGCCTCTCTTTTTTTCTTTAACTTCCTACGCCTTCTTCGGAGTTTGATTGTTTGCTTTTGCCGTTGGAAGTACAAAAACGTCCCAATTCCTTCCTCACCTAGATCTAGCAAAGAAAGTAGAAGCGACAGCGTTAATATCACTGGCAATGGAGGTGAAAATGTTGGATGCCTGGAAAAGTCAGTCTTCAGAACTTACTCTCATGAAGCAAAATCATGTGACATGGCGGCATTCTCTATCCAAGGCAGAAGAAAGACGATGGAAGATAGGTTCAATTCCATATCACACAATTATGAGCACAATCACTCTGTGTACGCTGTTTTTGACGGCCACGGGGGAGAGGTAATTACATATTACACATTATAAAGATTGTATCAAGTAATCTTAGCTGGGTGAATGTAGGTTCAAATAAGGGGGGGATGGGGTTAGAACTTAGGCCGTGTTATTCGGACTCGGGTCCGGAAAAAAGGAAGTGTCTTCGTTCTATAGATCTAACGTTCAGGGCTTCCCATTTTCCGCCATTTTTTAGTTTCCCCCACACCTTTTCTGCCGATCCGATGCCTGCCCCACACCTTTTCTGCCGATCCGATGCCTGCCGCCTCATTGATACGCCCCCCCCCCCCCCCCCATGTTTTCCACTTTCTTTGTTGTAAAAAAAGGTAAAAATGAAGATTAGCAGACCACCTGGCACCTGCATATTATGAGCTGTGTAAAAAAAAAAAGACTGATTTGTTCAAATACACTAAGCCTGTGTCATCTCAATTGTTTACCAAGAAAAAGTTGTGTTGCTGTGTAGAGCTGAGCATACTGCAACTTTTGATTCCATAGACCAGCGCACAATTTATTGCGTAGATCTACGTCAAGACGAGCTTATTATTGTAATAATGATCAGTTGCCGGGGGAAAAAAGACTGACGCGTATGCGACGTTCAACGCCCGGACCGATAGTGCCCCCTCCCCGACACGCACACAGTCACACGTGTGCAGGCCGCCCATCCGACCCCGACACACGCTAACGAGCCATCTTTAATTAGTAGACCTGCATGTTTGCCGACAATCGTCTGAAAACCGACAATCGCGACGCGACCCGATGCTATCGCTAGGCCCACCTGTATCAGTCTATGTGCGTAGTCCCGTAGTGCGAGACCTGGCCGACTGCCAGCGCCCCCTTTTTCTCCCGTCGGCTTTGTCGGCACTTTCGTTTTCGTGCCGACGTCGGCGTTTCCGACATAATTGTCGGAACCCAGGTAGAAATGCGAATACGAAAAAGGACGTCAACCTAAATTATCTACTTTCAGTTTCGTGCTCGAGCGGACGTTTTGAATTTCGTTTTGTTGACAAATTCAATTGTTCAGATCGTGTGGATTCATTCCAGTCCGACTCACTTAGATTTATTTAATAGAATCTAGATCTAGATCTAGATTTATATACTCTAGATCATTATAGACCTCAATGGAGGATTCATATTCCAATTCTATTTGGCCCGGGGTGAGAATAGTGCAGGCGAGTCTTTTGGCTATTCTGACCCGGTGCGCGTTCACCGTTATAATTTATAAATAGCCTAGATCTAGGCCAACAAATTTTGCGTTCACCCTAAACCACAGAATTCTACACTGTGATAACAGAACAATTGTAGAATTCTGTGCAGTGAACAAACGTTCCATTACAACTGTAGCCTACTAAAAGTCTAAAAGCGTACAATTTTGTCTGTGGGCAGTGGAGAGAGAGAGAGAAAAAGAGAGAGAGAGGAGTAGCGCGAGAACTTCCGGTCAAAACAAAATGGCAACCCGTGTAGTTCGGCTCAATTAGAAAAGTTAAATAGCTGTAATGTAGCATCTTTGTAAACAACCAAATTAATTTACTTTGGTGTTTTAACATCATTTTAAAACTTTGTTTTGGTCAATTTGATCGTCCACACCGATAGACAGTATTCAGAAAGAGACAGAGAGAGAGGGGAGGAGTAGATCTTGCGAGAACTTCCGGGCAAAACAAAATGGCGACCCGCGTAGTTCGGCTCGATTCGAACAGTGAAATAGCCATAGCATCTTTGAAGACAATCAAATTAGCTTACTTTTGTGCTATAACGTAATTTTTTCTTGGCTTTTATCAATTTGATCATCCACACCGATAGACAGTATTCCAAAATGAGGAAAAGCAGGTCTTGTTTCGCACCGGGTGAGAATAGCCTACGCTGGCAAGTCTCACCCGGGGTGAGAGGTAGATCGTTTTTCTATTCTCACCCCGGATGAGAATAGCCACTTCCATTCTATTTTGTCAAACCCTATCATAGGCTGTGCTGTAATATTAATGTTGGTAAAAGGCATTTCATCAGGTGCGTGAATTATTTATTTATTTAGAATCTAGACCAAGTCTAGACTCAGCTGAGCCCCTCTGTTCGGAATCGGATGCGGATTTCTAGTTCAAGGCCTATTCTTAGATCCTATTCACTTGTTCTACAAGATCTAGATCTAGATTTATTTAGTTTACTAGATCTGTAAGGAGGGGATTCATATTCCAATTCTAGAATCTATTGTGTTAATTGTATCAAACCCGATTATTATAGATCTAGCAATATGTAGATGTAGGCCATTATGCTCCTTGTAAGCCTTGTTTGTTTGTTTTGGAGTGTGGTTTTTTAATTTTAAAAATGTTTTTCATTTTGGACTTTTGCTGGCCTTTTCACATGAGGCTCGTTGCAGGTTCTTTTTTGGGGTAGGCCTAGGGGTAGGGGTAGGGTTAGGTCTCTTCTTTGTTGTGTTTGTTGGGCTGGTCGCTCGTTACTCGGAAGTCCTTCCTTAAGACACCCACAAAAGCTCTTTGGGGGGGGGGGGTTGCGCAAAATTTTCAGACAATTTGGTTGAGGCTCACTTGCAGGTCTATTGATTGCTTCTGATGACCTCTTGACAAAAAAACATTTATTAAAAGCCTATAACTTTTCAGGCCGGCCCCAAATTCATCATAAGATTTAAAAAACTCGGCTCCTGCTCAAAACGCCATTTTGCCCGAAGTGATCCCGGTCTCTACCCAGCCTGAGGCGAGTCACGAGTGAGGCAGGACAGGAAGCCGGAGTCACGAGTCACAGGAAGTCGGAAGTGATGTCATGCTGGACAAAAATCAGAGTCCGAATGAATAACATTTTTTCATATTCGGACTCGAGTCCGAATAGTCACTTCGTAGAACTTAAATTGCCTTGACAAGGGCCTCTAAGACTAGATCTGGATGTAAATCTAGATAGATCTAGATCTAGATCTAGATATGTAGAATCTAGATCTAGATTCTAGATCTAGACTAGATCTATATATATATTCGAAGTGACTAGCCTATTTCTCCGAACGTTCGGGAAAGTATTTGCCCTCTATAGGTTTCCGATCTCGAAATATTTTGGTTATTTGCAAGATTTAGGCATCCTTTCATTCTGCGTGGACTGGGAAGTTCAGAAGCCTTTTTTGCATCGAATTCAGTTTCTAGAGCTAGAGATTTTTAAATGTCTGAATGAATATTCAGACTTCAGTTGTGGTTGGGGCAACGTTCCCGTACTCTTCTATTTGATAAGGCCGTCGTTATTCGGACTCGAGTCCGAATAACATTTTTAATTTTTTCATATTCGGATTCGAGTCCAAATAAAGAAAATTCTTATTCGGACTCGAGTCCGAATATGAAAAAATGTTATTCGGACTCGGGTCCGGAAAAAAGGAAGTGTCTTCGTTCTATAGATCTAACGTTAAGTGCTTCCAAGTTTCCGCCATATTTTAGTTTCCCCCACACCTTATCTGCCGATCAAATGCCCGCCGCCTCATTGATACGCCCCCCACCCCCCATGTTCCCCACTTTCTTTGTTGTAGAAAAAGGTAAAATTGAAGATAAGCAGACCACCTGGCACCTACACATTATCTATGAGCTGTGTAAAAAAAAAAAGACCGATTTGTTCAAATACACAAGCCTGTGTCATCTCGATTGTTTACCAAGAAAAAGTTGTGTTGCTGTGTAGAGTCGAGCATACGGCAACTTTTGATTCCATAGACCAGCGCACAATTCATTACGTAGATCTACATCAAGACTAGCTTATTATTGTAATAATGATCAGTTGCCAGGGGATAAAAGACAGACGCGTATGCGACGCTCAACGCCCAGACCGATAGTGCCCCCCTCCCCGACACGCACACACAGCGACACGTGTGCAGGCCGCCCTTCCGACCCCGACACACACTAACGAGCCATCTTTAATTGCTTCTGGTGACCTCTTGACAATTAAACATTTATTAGAAGCGCTATAACTTTTCAGGCCGGCCTCAAATTCATGGTAAGATAAAAACTCGGCTCCTGCACAAAACGCCATTTTGCCCGAAGTGATCCCGGTCTCTACCCAGCCTGAGGCGAGTCACGAGTGAGGCAGGACAGGAAGCCGGAGTCATGAGTCACAGGAAGTCGGCAGTGATGTCATGCTGGACAAGAGTCAGAGTCCGAATAGCATTTTTTCATCGTCAAAAAGTACTGAGAGAAAACAAGACTGCTTGACCTTGGCAGTCACCTATTTTGCATTGAATCACCCAGCAAAAACTAAAATCCTTCATGTAAAAAAAAAATTCCTCCACGTCCCCCCCCCCCCTCATTCACACCTTATGCACACACCGATACACACATCGACACACACACACACACACACACACACACACACACACATGCACTCTCACACACACACACACACTCGACACACACAAACACACACACTGGCCACTCCATTCGCTCATTATCAACAAATCTCGAGAACGGAAACCGCTTGGAGAAATAGAGTTTTATTTTCGCGAACGTTCGGAGAAATAGAGCTGGCCTACTACACAGTGGAATCCTGTTATAACGAGAGGGAGGGGACCGGAGCAAAATGTCCGTTATAGCAGGATTCTCGCTATAAGGGATCCAGTAATAAGTTCAAGGGAAACTGTAAAGTAGACCTAATCTATGAGTTTGGTGTTCTGTTTATTTCCTTTTGCTATCTCCCCTGATGACGATTTTGTTTCAACATGACCTCTAGGTCTTACTTGATCAAAAATCGAATCAGGTCTCTTTCTCTAGCGCTAGATCTAGCGATGTGGACTGACAGCTCGGTGTTGGCGATCAGAAAGGAAGGGCTCCGGGCTAACTCACCCGCTGTGTTTTCCCCCACCCCACCACACCATGTGGTGCATTCTGTCTGCTTGCGCACGTCACACATTGCTCCGTCCATCACATTGCTGTAACCTCTCCATCCCCGCATCGGAGAAGTGAGAGGCATGGTAGGCCTTGATAATCTAAACTAGGCTTACGCTGGCATATCACACGATGCGTTCTGCTTGTCTGTGCATGCCACACCCTCCCTACTCAGTTGCTCCGGCCTTCATTATTGGCGCACATGGGCTCTTCTTTTCTTTGTTTCGCAAGATCACCAACAAATTCCTCAACTGGTGAGATTTTACGTTTATGTATAATTGGCCTATGCACTGTGCACAGCAGCAGCAATATTCCGCTGTAACCGACTCTCATGTTTGTCTGATAGCGCTATAGCAGTATTTTATTTACAAAGGTAAAGAGGAGAAAAAAACGGGGTTTTAGAATAGTGTCTTTATAACAGACTTCTTGTTTTTTCCGGACTCGTTTTAAGTGGACTCCACTGTATTAGGTTATTAGGGAGGACTTCTGTAACGAGCGACCACTATGAAACAGAGTAGAATAGAGAGTTAGGGTTTGGGGTAAGGTTAGGGCAGGGGTAGAGGTAAGGTTAGAGGTAGGGGTTGAGTTAGGGTTAGATCTTGGTCTCTTCTTTGTGTTTGTTGGGGTGGTCGCTCGTTACGGAAGTCCTTCCCTCTAGATTAGCTGCCTGTTTGCCGACAATCGCGACCCAACCGATGCTATCGCTAGGCCCACCTGTATCAGTCAATGTGCGAGGCCCAGGGTGTCCAGCAAAGTCGTTAAAAAGTCGTAAGTTTGGCGCCCTGGTCGTAAAGGTAGTAAATGATAGTAAATTTGCTTTGAAGGTAGTAAAAATTTGGTCAACGGTCGTAAATTAGCCTGCATACTGAGTGATGAAGCCAGCTCAAGACTTTTCAGTGAACCCTAGCCGCCGTACATGACTCCGTTTTTGCCGGTCGCGATTGCGATATAATATTCGTTCACCTTTTCCCTGTCCCAGAGTATGTTTCACGCGAAAAACTCTTCATAACAGCACTAAAAGAAAAACATTAATAATTAAAATTGAGTCTCAGAGTGATTTTCCTTATGTGGGTAGCTTAGTGGCCCATAAGTGGGGTCGTGACTCTAGATCTAGATCAAGATCTTGACTTATTTTAGATATCTAGATCTAGATCTATATGGAAGATTCATAAATTCCAATTCTATTGTAGTGTTATTGTGTCAAACCCTATAGCAATGTGGGCCATATTATGCTCCTTGTTTATTTTGGAGTGTTTTTTAAAAATCATTTTGGACTTGTGTGTTGGCCTTTTTACATGAGGGCCGTTGCAGGTTCTTTTTTAGGGTAGGCCTAGGAGTAGGGTTAGGCTTCGGGTGTGGGTTAGGGTTAGGGTTAGGTCTCTTCTTTATTGTGTTTATTGGGGTTGTCGCTCGTTACTCAGAAGTCCTTCCTTTTATGACACCCACAAAAGCTGGGGGGGGGGGGGGCAAAATCTTCAGACAATCTGGTTGAGGCTCACATGCAGGTCTAAAATGTAAATGTTCTCTCAGTATCTATTATAATGTTCTCTCAGTGTCGATGATGTTCTCTCGGTATCGTTTATTTATTCATTATGTTCTCTTCTGTCAGAATTTATGACTGTGTGAATTTATCAATGTGTGCGAGGGTGTAGGTAAGTTTGTGGGATTGTCTTTACTCAAGGATGTACTGGAGAGAGAGAGAGACAGTTTGAGAAAGAGAGAGAGAAAGAGGATTACTATTGGAGCTGTGCGTGGATATTATATGTTCTTTGTATTATTGTACCGCGCATTGAGCAAGTCTTTGTGGAAATGCGCTAGCTATATAAATACAATTTACTACTATTATTATTATTATTATTATTATTATATGTTATATATTTATTATTATATGTTATATACATACATTTATATATATGATATAAAATATATATACACATGGATTCTCTCATTATTTTAGAAACTGTTTTTAACATAATGTTATTCCTCATTGAGTGATATAGAGAGTTTTTTATTTAGTTTGCAGCTGAGTACATAGAAGACCAGCTGTTTCGATCTATACAAAAGGAGCTTTGTCAAGGAAGCTTTCCAGCAGATCCTGACCAAGTAAAGCAGGTAAAAATAGTTTTTAGTCTAGTTCTTTTCGCTCTTTGTCCTCCATCCCAAATTTTAAAAGTTTAAACTTAAGAATAGTATCAATTATAAATCTATCTTTGTGCTAAATGCTACATGTTCATGTATGAAAAGCCTTAACTTTTTTTTTCTGCTCAATGGAAAAAAATGTTGTCTTTGATATCATTTTTTAAAAAAATGTTTAGGGTTGTTTTGTTTTACTTCAGGCACGTAAAACCCTTATCTGTGTAGTGTGCACTTTTTGAATCGGCACTGTTTAAAGAATATGAGATCTCTTAATCTTTCTCTGAAAAGCTTATTGTTCTTCCTAGCCAAATGCTTTCTTTTGCTTCATCTGTCAAAATGTTTCCAACTCAGATAATTTACAAATGTGTATATTTATAAATGTAGTCGTTTATTTGATTTTAAAATTACTGAACAATTTGGAAATATTTGCATGCAAAGATTTGTACCCACAATCTTTGTCTCCCATGTGCTATGGAGGGATAAAGTTTGATAAATAGAGATAGCATTACAATAAATTTAGAGAGAAAGAAATATCTTTTTTCACTGCTGCCCTAGTTTTCAATCTCAAAACTAAATTTTTATTATTTGTCTGTTATAATAATCTATGAATTTTTTATCTATTTGCAATACTTTTTAACAGGGTCAGTGCTTTCTGAGGAGGCACTTCGAATTGCCATTGCATTTGTTGGGTTCTGGCATATGATATGAAGATGAGAGAAGAAAAAGGGCTTCTATGTGAATGTGTCTTGCTCTTTCATCTTGTCCTCTGTTGTTGTTTCCATCCTTTTCCGTTTCTTTGCATCTGCCAGACCCATTCATGACAGTTACAGGTCACGGAACAGTACAGAACTGTATTATGAAAAGGTTTCTTTCCATTTCTTAAAAATATGTGTCACAATGTGGTGGAATCAGGCGCTCATCAAATTTTGGTTTTATAGAATATAATATATATATTCTTAAAGCCGGTTCATTTGCCTTTTTTTTGGTGGAAAAAGTACTTAGCTGTCTGAAGTAGAAGTCAATATATTTGTGAGTGAAGGAGCCAAACTTTACTGACTTTCAAAGCATGAGTGTCTCTTTGAAACTGCAAATTTACAAATTTTTTTATTTTTATCATCCTTTTCCGGTAAAATTCACACAAAAATGTCTTTATCAATGGATATATATATTATAAGGTGTGGGGCCAAGAAAAAGAATTGATGAAAATTGCCCATCGGGCGAAAAAAAATGCTGATTTCTTCTATTTACGTTATTCCGACGAGCGCTTGATTTCACCGCATTATTGTAACAGAACAGTGGGTATAATTTTTTCTTTGTGATCTCCTAATGGAGACTTTACCTTTTTTTTTTCCTGAAGGTACTGACGAGTGTGATAAGGCAAGTGGATGCTCAACTTGTGTGTCTGTCCAGAGACAGGATGGACCTGTCAGGTACGGAGTAAACAGCCGTAGATTTCTCTACATCACTGTCACAATGTTTTGGGGTTGGGTTTTTTTCTACAGAATTTCACACCAAAGTTTGTCCAGTTTTCAGTCTGTTTTTTTGTTTGTTTGTTTTTTTTCAAGGAAAATAAGATATTTCATATAGACTTTAAAATAATTAGGATAAGTGATAACGTACACAAACACACATTCATAAAAAATTTATTTTTGGTGGAATTGGATTTGTCTCTAGATGTTCGTTCCATACTTCTTGATTGACTGAAATATCATGTTTGATTTTCCTTTGATACCTGAATGGAGAAGCCCGCAGGCTGCTCCCATCCACAAGTGAAAGTGGAGCTGTTAAATGTTCAAAATGTCGCAAACTCTCCTCTGCCTCAATTGTTCTCATTGGCCCCAGCAGAAGCCACAAGTCATCATAACCTTTAATTCTTCGAATTCTCCTGTTTTGCTTGAGAAATATTCTCTTCTCCTGATGTATTGGTCATGGGTCAGAATTACCGGATGGGCTATTATTATTACCTGAATAGACTGTACAAACAGCCGCTTCCCATTTCCACCCTGTATGTTTTTAAAAATATAATGTGTGGGTGGTTGGCGGGTGCTCTGATGTGGTTTGCTTCTTCTTTCCTATCAAACATCTATCGTCCTTATCTCCCCTTCTTCTTTTTTATGTTTGTTACTCTCTTGTAACACCTCTAATCTTCTGGCGCTCATATGACCTTTTGCAGTTGTGAGCGCTGTAAAACCCTCTACTAAAACTTTTTTAAATGTGTCACAACACTGTGGAATCAGACGATCATCAATTTTGGGGTATGTGGAGTCATTGGTATTATTTTTTAGCTCGTTTATTTGTCTATATCTTTTGATTAGAAAATATGCCTCTATCTTGAATAGAAGTCGAGATATTTGCTATTGAACGATGTGGGGTCGCTTGATTTCAGAGGTAAAGTTAGCAAGAAAATGGCCGCTAAAGTTTGGTGATTCCAATAGCTATATATATATATGTATATATATGTCAGGGTTCCCACTCGACAGGTGAAAATGGGAAAAAGACCCAGAATTTCATTTTCAGATTTACTGGTCAGTAAAACACTGTGAAAATGAATGTACACAAAAATTATATGGGAGAAAACCTGGAAATCAAAGGGCTGCCCACTTCCCATCAGTATGAAGGTTTTTAAACTTTTTTTTCTATTTTTCTCAAATCCGATCATAACACCCCACACGAGCAAGGAAACCAACGAGTGAAAGAACCTAGTTGAATGATGTGAACCCGTCTTTTATTCAGTGCAGTCATTGTTTGTCCTATATTTGAGGTGAGCTGTGTTATTTCCAGGCTCGACTGGAATCCTTCTCTACCAAAAGGAAGATGTGCTCATTATTGCCAACATCGGGGACTCGAGAGCGGTCATGTCTGACGTCAAAGGCAAAGTTGTCCCGCTTTCCACAGACCACAAGCCATCAGATGTAAGTTTCTAATGGCCTAGAATTACTTTTTAAGAGTGCTTCCACTCTTCCATATTTTCCTGCAATTGGCCATTATTCCGCTATGCCCCATGCATTCATTGCGGGTTGGTCGGCTGTACATTTTTACCTGCAGGTTGATCAAAATCTGGCTAACTTTTTCAGTGCTTCCACTCTTCCGTATTTTAACGGAAATCCGTACTTTCTGCCAGTTCCGTAATTGTTCCTCCATCATTATCAAATCCCTCCGTAAAAATCTGCGACAGCGCAGGACTACCGAAATTCCGGAGCAAAAGACCCGTACTCGCCTTCGTATCGTCTTGTATAGTATAAGTTACGGATATTTATGGTAATTTTCTCGGCAATAGTTTGTTATGGTATAGAAACCTGCCAGATTGCGCATTTCCTGCCATCGGCCCTTAATCCGCTATGCCCCATGCATTCATTGCGGGTTGGTCGGCAGTACATTTTTTACCTGCAGATTGATCAAAATCTGGCGAAGTTTTGTGCCACTATCCTCCCTTCTGTCATTCTCTCATTCCGTCTGTCTATCTTTAGATTGTTGCCGCGGTTGGAAAATCTGCACGTTGATCAAGTATATTGACTTGTTATCTTAGAAAATTACTGTCAGAAAGAAACTTTATGGCAAATTTATTGTCTAGGTCTAGAGAAATTATCAGTGCGAAGATTCTACGGCACGGGAACGCGATAAGGGCCGCGATGAAAGAAAACTACTAAAATCAAGAATAATTCGAAGTGGTTTTCCGAGGTTGTCACATTCGACATTCAGACGTGAAATTTGAGGAAAATTATGGTATACGCTGGGTGACTGTACTGTGAAGATACATATCTATTCATTATTCCCAGGTTTGCCTTCTATCAATGGTGCGATGACAAATTAATTGAATTATAGTAGCAATGGAAGGAGGACCTGCTTTCAAACTTTGCCAACAATGGAAAGATATGTTGGTGAAGAAATCAAACAAGACAAAATGTTGGTAAAAAAATAAATGTTATGGGCTGTAGGCAATCTTTTCAAACACTTACAAATGCCATTTTCAACCCTCTAAAAGCGCTAAATTCAACTTTTTCAGGGGCTTCGCCCCCTGAACCCCCACCGGGACGCTGTCCCTTGCCCCTGCTGGGGCCTATGCAGCCCCCAGACCCACAGCAGAATTTTCCTTACTTTTCAGCTTCAGCTAGTGGAAGCACTGTTTTAATTTTAAGTTATTTCTAGAATTCATGGCGTCGGTGGCCTAGTTGTTAGGCTACGGGACTCGTAACCGTGAGGTTGCGGATTCGGGGGTTCGAGCCGCGGGCCCGACGTTGTGTCCTTGGGCAAGACACTTTACACGAATTTTCCCCACTTCACGCGGGTGGGAATGGGAATAGACAGTGAAAGATCTTGTCAGTTTGTTAGTGTTTGAGCGCTTAACCAGCTACTTGCACTGCCTGCTTCCCGGGAAGCTGAGAACGTTTTGGAGTGTTCTATGGTCTGCTGGGATAATAATATAGCGTGAAGTGCATAGAGCTTGCTTTCGAGTGGGAACATGCGCAATACAAATGCTGTTTATTATTCAGACGACCAATGTCGCCGCCCATGAAGCACTCGGTTGTATATCGAGATTATATATTGTCAGCGTTCGACTTGATCCATGTATTCACCAAATTAGGTTAACACTTCTTTTGTCTGAAATAATGTGTTTGTTTTTTTTACTGTAATTACAATTTGTGTTACTATACTTATAATATTTTAAAAAATTTTAAGGAAAAAGAAAACGCAATTTTGGGAGATGATAGATATGTGCTATACAAATGCCATTTTTTATCATTACTATAATTTTAAGATTGAAATTACAGTTTTTTCATTTTAAAAAAAGAGTTTGCTCTAATTTGATAGATACACAGTAAGAGTCAGACACTGATGTGTGTGTGTACTCGTCATGCGTGTGTGAATGGGAGGGAGAATGAGTGACTTAGAGAGAGAAGCATCGTGGTGAAATCAGGTGCTGTCAAAGTAATGAAATTGAAGAAACAGGCATTGCTCTGCCATTCTGGCAATTTTTATCGAATCAATTTTCAAAGACCCTTAAGCTATTGAAGTTACCAAACTTTGGCAGCCATTTTCTTGCTAATTTTACCACTGAAACTTCCTTCAATTGTAAATATCTTGACTTCTATTCAAGATAGATGAGTGTTTTTTACATTGAAAGCAAGGCAAATAAATAAGCTATCAGATGATACCAATAACTCCACATTCCTAAGAATTGACGAGCGCCTAATTCCACTGTGTCGTGACATATATATCCAGAGCATGACACATTGCATAATGCTAGCGGCTAAATGTGTGTGTGCCTGGTGAAAGGTACCAAATGACGCATTTTGAAGAATCACATTTTTTTGCATTGTCACATACAGAGATCATTTCTGAACAATATGCTTTTTGAAATTTTAAGATATCTTCTGTCATTTTTGAGATGTGGGTGATTTTGTAAGGCAGGATGCGGAATCAAAATTTTGAGAAAAACGGCTTTAAAGTTTCCCCTTTGTTTCTGCTTCAAATAAGTAGATCTACGCTTTGAGACGACCTGACAACACATTCGCTACTTGCAAACCAACTTTAAAAAGCAGCTAAGATAAAAGAACTGCTTCAAACTGTTAACATTATGTCTTCAAAACAAATTCACCACCTCCTTGAGCAAGAATTTTCAAGAAATTAGGTCTAGGTTTGCGCAGGGAAGAAATATGCGATAGTTTGCTCTGCTAAAATACGAAATGGTGTGGATGCGCAAAACTTCGCTTTGTTTACAAGTTTTAGATATTCATGCGCACTACCCGCCACTAGAGAGGGGAGAGAATGACTTAAATTTTGGTAAGCAATGTGATTGGGTCAACTTTATGAATGGACAAGAGAAACCATCCACAGTGTGTACTCGGAAAACTAATTGTCTCACACATTTTGGGGGGATTATGCAATATACATCGTGTTATAAAACGTCTTTAAAATGTATTTTCAAGTAAAAGAAATTCAAGACCTTGTAAATATCGATATATTATTGGCTTAAGAATCCATTTTAATGGGACTTAGTTTTTGTCCAAAATTCTATTTTTGACCTTTGAAGCCTAATATCTCGGTTCGAACAAATGCGTCTTTTTGTACCTTTCACCAGGCACACTCACAAGTGGTTGTGGCAGTAATATAGACTTCAACTGGGAAAAATTTCCAGAGAAGTTATAGACAAGTAGCTGCTGTGAACTGTGTTTTTTTGTCTATTCCTAAAAAGGTACATATTTTGATCTCATGGTAGTGAAGGTGTTCTTTCCAATCTGCAATCTTTGTGTACTGTTACTTATAGCAGTTGAACTCTTTTATCTCCGCGGGGGTAAACCCATGACATACACATCACTAAACTGTAATATTTGTGTACTGTTACTTATAGCAGTTGAACTCTTTTATCTCCGCAGGGGTAAACCCATGACATACACATCACTAAACTGTAATATTTGTGTACTGTTACTTATAACAGTTGAACTCTTTTATCTCCGCGGGGGTAAACCCATGACATACACATCACTAAACTGTAATATTTGTGTACTGTTACTTATAGCAGTTGAACTCTTTTATCTCCGCAGGGGTAAACCCATGACATACACATCACTAAACTGTAATATTTGTGTACTGTTACTTATAACAGTTGAACTCTTTTATCTCCGCGGGGGTAAACCCATGACATACACATCACTAAACTGGTCATTAAACCCCAAAACTGATCCTATTTTGATAGTCCTTCATCTAAGGAATGAACTCTCAGTAAAAGAGATCTGTGTTCAGCAATGGCAGAAAAGTTATTTGACATACTTTACTTTACTTTACTTTACTTTACTTTACTTTACTTTACTTTACTTTACTTTACTTTTCCGATCCAGCGGCCATTTGGGTTCTAGCCCTTCGGTCTGTCGATATGGCAAAGAATTGACAGGTTTTAATCAGCTGTGCTTTGTCGCTGTATAGAGTGTTTCCGATGTCTGGGGAGGCAGGTAGGTAGGTGCTACGCAGGTCACAAAGTGCAGGGCAGTTAAAGAGGTGGTGTGGTACTGTTTCATCCTGGCAGTCGCACAACGGGCAGTCGGGTGGGGTATCCTTGCGGATCCTATTAAGGTAGGAATTTAGTGGTATGTGTTGTGTTCGCAGGCGAAATATTGTGACTTGTTCTCTTCTACTCATTTGACATCAAAGTCATCTTAAAGGATTATGCCCCAGCAGCTCACTGGCACAGCAGTTCCAACCGTAAGCCGCTGGGAGCGGCTCGCCGGAGATAAAGATTTTATTTTTTTAAATGTAGATTGTATAGTTGTACTTTGGTACCAACTTTCTTGTATTACTGCCTCATGTCATAAGACACAAATACTTTATTTTTCACCACTGGAAAAAATTGACTATGTGCTTTCACAAAGAGTTACATACCATCATATCAACACATCTCTCTCTCTCTCTCTCTCTCTCTCTCTCTCTCTCTCTCTCTCTCTCTCTCTCTCTCTCTCCCCCCCTCTCTCTCCCCCCCCTCTCTCTCTCTTTCTCTCTTTCTTTCTCTCTCTCTCTCTTTCTTACTCTCTCTTTCTCTCTTCATCCCTCCCTGCTAACTCGACATTTTGTTTTTTTCTTTTTTTTCATTCTTTTCCAAAGGACCATGCTGACCATAATTTAGTTTCAACATTATTTTTTTTACATAAGATCTGCAGTTGACTGAACAACATTATACTCACCTATTCTGTTAGAGTAAAAACATTGATTGCATGTTGTTAAAATACTGTCCGCTTTCTTTAGTAGTGTTTGCTCAAATCTGAAAATCTTTTGGTGAGGAAAATATTGATGTGAGAATAGCCTACTATTTACAGTAGTGTTAGTAGCGATAAAGTAATGCCCTTTTTCGTAAAAATCTCTGACTTCTTTAGACTGGAATGTTTGGTGTAGAAGATAAGCGCTTTACCGTCACATTCAGAAGACCTGGGTTTGGAGGGAAGAGGGTTTTGTTGAGCATCTCAGTCCTTCTACTGGGACAATGTAGCCGTCTGAGCCTAGGGAGGCTCTGACATGGTCAAAGACTGCTTCCTTAATAAGATAAGATAAGATACATATTTATTATCCAGATCTTGGCATATTGGTTTGATGTTTCACCACGTACACACACACGCACACACACACGCACTCACACACACACACACACTCACAGGCACACACACACAGGCACACACACGCAGGCTTACTGTCACATGCAAAATACAAATGAACAGCAATATAAACGGTAATAATCTTAAGCTAGATACATGCTCAATGTTATTCGGATGCATGCTCTACGGTCATATATGAGTACTTATAACAAGATGGTTAAGACGGAAGAATTTTGATGATGTCAGTTGTGTCAATGTAAAAACACCTACGTTTTTTTTTAAATTCAAAATGTTTTTAGTGTTTAGTTTAAAAAATACATTTGAATAAATTTCTCAATGTGTTTTAAAGCATGGTGTATCCCCCAAAAAGTCCGTGATTTCCGTATTTGAGTATTTGGGCATGTTAAGAAATTGTTTTTCCTGAATTTATCCTTATCTTGAGTGAATTCTCATCTTTTTATTTCCTCCAGCCGAAAGAGCAACAAAGAATCGTGGATGCTGGTGGCTTTGTCACATTTAACGGCGTGTGGCGTGTGGCTGGAGTGCTTGCCACATCACGGGCATTTGGAGACTACCCCTTGAAGCAACGGAAATTCATTACTGTGGAACCGGAATTTCGAGTATTCAATGCGCAAGAATGCAAGCCTCATTTCATCATAATGGCTTCAGATGGACTGTGGGATGTTTTCAGTAATGAAGAGGCTGCTCAGTTTATAAGGTAAACACAGTATATGCAGTAAACACACACAGTCTTTAAGGTAAACACAAACAGTATATAAAGTAAACACCCTCTACAAGACAAACAGTATAGAAAGTATACACCCTCTACAAGGTATATACAAACAGTATATAAAGTATACACCCTCTACAAGGTATATACAAACAGTATATAAAGTATACACCCTCTACAAGGTATATACAAACAGTATATAAAGTAAACACCCTCTACAAGGTATATACAAACAGTATATAAAGTAAACACCCTCTACAAGGTATATACAAACAGTATATAAAGTAAACACCCTCCACAAGGTAAACACAAACAGTATATAAAGTATACACCCTCCACAAGGTATATACAAACAGTATATAAAGTATACACCCTCTACAAGACAAACAGTATATAAAGTATACACCCTCTACAAGACAAACAGTAAAGTATACACCCTCTACATGGTATATACAAACAGTATATAAAGTAAACACCCTCTACATGGTATATACAAACAGTATATAAAGTAAACACTCTCTACAAGGTATGTACAAACAGCATATAAAGTAAACACTCTATAAGGTTAACACAAATGTTCATAAAGTAAACGCAAATAATGTATAAGTAAGCACAAACAGTAGGTAAGGTAAACACAAACTGTTTATAAGGTAAATTAAAAGCATAAATTTCATAAGGTAAACACAAATAGCTTATAGGGTAAGCACAAACAGTATATACAAAACACAAACAAGTCATAAGGTAAACACAAATAGCTTATAGGGTAAGCACAAACAGTATATACAAAACACAAACAAGTTATAAGGTAAACACAAATAGCTTATAGGGTAAGCACAAACAGTATATACAAAACACAAACAAGTTATAAGGTAAACACAAACCATCTACAGTCGAACCTGTGTAAGACGGCCACCCATTGTCAAGGAGAAAAGTGGCCGTATAAGACATGTGGCTGTCTTAGACAGGACTGATCAAGATGAAGAAAACAAACCCTTCCTTTCTCAGATCCCAACCGAAGATAGCCGTTTTGTTATTGTTGTTATTGTTATTTTTTTCAGTTTTTTTTTTCTTCTTTTTTTTTTTCTTTTGTTGCTGCTTTTGTGTAAGGGTGACAATAAAACGAAATGTGTCAGACAAGGAGGACAGAGTGCTATTGTAAAACAAACACATGGGTCGCCACCACTCAGAGAACGAGCGACGCTTCTGTCACAAGTTCATGTTGACGTCCATTGTTACTTTGTTACAGACTGGGTAAACAGTGACCACTTATCTCGCTTACGATTTGTGTATGAGTTCTGGACAGGGCTTATGGGTTATTAGGGATCACACGCTTACCTCACCAGCAGCTGAAAATGTGTTACCTATTGGTCAACAGTGGGAGGGACCTACGCAACATGATCGGTTGGAGGGACTACCTCACAACAACGACAGGTGATTAGATTATAACGGCTCGTCCACAACGCCAGGGGCCAATGCACAATTTATGACAAAACGTAATGGAGTCGCTAAGGTGGCCGTCTAAGACAGGTGTTATTGCTTAGTGTGATAGGGGTTGTGTGTTAAAATATGGTGGCCGCGTTGAACAGGTGCCCGTTTTACACAGTTGAGTCATATAGAAAAAACGCAAGGGGGGAAATGGAAAGTGGCCGTTTGTACTGATGGCCGTCTTATAGAGGTGGCCGTCAGGGCAGGTTCGACTGTATAAGGTAAACACCAACAGTTTATAAGGTAAACATAAATAGTCTATTAGGTAAACGCAAACAGTTTATAAGGTAAACAGTGAAAGTCCCTTGTGGATATCTTATATCCATTTTAATTGCCACAATTTTGCCTTGATAAGAGAATTGCTGTATATCCAGCCACAGTATTTTAAAATTCTCATTTCCAGTTGAAGTTTTGTTGTGTTATTGGATTTTAGTCCAAAAAAATTGTTTTATTTTAAGTTTGTTTCATATTTTAACATGAAATGTACCTGTACAAATGGCCACTTTCCCTTCCCTCGTTGCGTTTTTTCTTCATAATTTAAGTGTGTGAAAAGGGCACCTTTCCAACGCGACCGCGGCCACCATATTTTAACTCATGACCCCTATCACACACACCAAACAATAACACCTGTCTTAGACGACCACCTTAGTGACTCCATTACGTTTTGTCATAAATTGTGCATTGGCCACTGGCATTGTGGGCGAGCCGTCATAATCTAATCACCTGTAGTTGTTGATTGGTAGTCCCTCCAACCGATCATGTTGCGTAGGCCCCTCCCACTGTTGACCAATAGGTACCAATTTTCAGTTGCTGGTGAGGTAAGCGTGTAATCCCTCATAACCATGGCATTCTTTACTAACAGGCCTTCCCAACGTACGACTGGGGTCTCGGACTGGGGGCCTACGGTGTTTTCTGTAAGGGAGGCAACTGAAACATTAGACCCCCTTTCCCTCCCCCTGATTCCCGAGTGTCGCGTCGCCGCTTAGTCAGCCAATGACACTACTGACCTCGATAGCAGACCGACGTATCTGCCAAAAAAAAATGTAATTAGTTTTTGCATCTTCGTTTAAATGGACGCCTATACCCATTCTGCTTCTTGTATCTGCACTACAAATAGAATATTTCACTGAGGCAAACAGACGTAACTGAAGGGCCATGCCCATATTATTTCCAATGGCAGCGCGACATAACTCAAAATCATAAAAAGTGCAGATACGTCGTCTGCCTTGGCACGGCAGAGTCTTGCATAGTGTGTAATCTAGTCCTCAGTGCAAGTGCAAGTGCAAGCGTGAGCTGTGTACTGTGTAAAATCAGTCCTTTCTCGCTGTCTTGCAAGTCTTTCGCAAGCCCGGCAAAATCAAATGTTCAATTGATGCAAAGTGTCGTGTTGTGCATTAAGCGGTATATTTATTCACCAATATTTTCATTGTACTGGATATAATAGCTCTACATGGTGTTCTTTGTTCATGATAGAAATGTGAAGTGTGGATTCAATAGATGTTATCGTTCCAGTACAGTCAAGAAGTGTCTCTCTCGTACCAGACTCTTCATTCTGCCTTTCTTGTTGAATCCAACCTTGCATTTCATGATCACCAACAACAGTGTGTAAACTCATAAAAATATTCTTAGATTCTCTGGTAAACATTTGGTTTTCGAAGCATGTGTGGTTGATGTCATTTGGGTTTCCATTATGGGCAGGAAATGTTGGGTTTTTGGTTGCAGAACAAATTATAGATCTAATTCAGAGAAAGCGAGTTCAAGTGAAAAGAAAGTGTCTGTGTTTAGATTCCCAAAGGATGGGATTGAAAGAAATGCATGGATTTCTGTGATATCCAATGCGAAGTTATCAGTTTCTAAAGAGACTGTTGTGTGTGAACTGCACTGGCCAGATGGTTATGAAAGTGAACTTGTTAAACTTTGTAGACGGTTACTTCAGTCCTCCCATCAATATGTCATAGGGCTCAGGAGGGTCCTACTTTATTACCTTTCAGCAAATTGTGGAAAAATCAAAATTCACAGATCAAGACTACTTCTATCTCTTGATGCAGACCTTTCAAACCTTGAAGAACCTGATCATTCCTGCTCCGATTGCAATTTTAACATTGAAACAGACGAAAGGGCTTCAGAAACTGGACAATCTAATTGAGTTGGAGCAGTCACTTGGTACAGAGACAAAATCTGTGCTGATTTATATTGCTGGTTATGCTACTCGCAAAGACGAAGAGCTGGACGAAATTTTTCAACTCGGACAGACAACCTTCTACTACCAAAAGTACGGCCACTACACAAGCTCATTGGATAGAGACGGCTTGAATAACCGTTCTGATAGAGCATGTCAGTGGACCTTCTTTGCTTTTCTTTTGTTCAATATTGTTAAAGACTCTTTTTGCAGAACATCTTTCTACAAGTTAACCATGTCTGACAGTTTTGAGATCGAAATGCAAGAGAAACACAGGCGGATTCTGGCACACATCTTTCTTTTTTTTTTTACTATTGTTACGCTTCCACTCCTCGCTCTTCAAAAGAACCTGCTTTGAAAATTGTGAAATCTTCATAATTGAATAGACATACACTGCAATCCATGGAAGAAGGAAAATTACTGGAAGAAATTTTGTGCAAAATGTTAAGTTTAATAATTGATGTGATCAATGTCTTTAAAAAAAACAACCCCACAGCAGAAAGCAACGCAACAGTCTGATTGGAACGTTTAATCATACATTCTTCATTGTTCGATATTTCCCACCCTTATTTCACCTGGATACACGGATTATACTACAGAAAAACATAAAACTGGCTTGGCAAGTAGGCCCCTACTCATTTATAAGGCATGTACAGTAAATAGATCTAGTCATGTCTTGTTTAGATTGGTTTATATGGGCGTTCATTTCGATGTTTTTTCCCAAATTGCATAACAGATCTAACAGTAATAGGGCTAAGTAGTAAATTAATAATTATTAAGCTCTTTATTTTTATTTCACTTAGGACTAAATATTGTAATTACCTTTGGAAACAATGCTCAGAGACTGAATATGGAGTCGACTGGATAAATAGACGTTAATACTTAAATGATATAGTAGGCCCCCTGTCCAAGACCCCCAGCCGCACGCTGAGAAGGCCTGTAGTAAAGTACGCTATGCTCATAACCCATAAGCCCCACCCAGAACTACCCAAATCGTAAGTGAGATGAGTGGTCACTGTTTACCCAGTCTGTAACAAAGTAATAATGGACGTCAACATGAACTTGTGACAGATGCGTTGCTCGTTCTCAGAGTGGTACCCATGTGTTTGTTTTAACATGGCAGTCGGTCTTCCTCGTCTGATACATTTTGTTTTTATTGTCACCCTTGCGCAAAATCAGCAACAAAATAAAAATAGCAAACAAAATACAAACCAATAACTACAAAACAACAACTGTGCGGCTACTTTCGATTGGGACCTCAGATGGGAATGGTTTGTTTTCTTCATCTTGTTAAGTCTAGCCTAAGACGGCCACCTGTCTTATACGGCCACTTTTCTCCTTGACATTGATTGGCCATCTTACACAGGTTTGACTGTATGTCTTTTGAAGAGATTTTGTTTGTAAGTTTTTGTTCTACCTGCTAAACATCTGTTGTCCTTGTTTCTCCTTTGGGTACAGCGACATCTGTGGTTAAACAATTATGCCCTTTGCCCTCAAACTCAGAAAATATGAGTTCAATTCCGGTACTCAGAGGGTTGTTGTTTTTTTTCCCAAGTATCTCTGTCTTTGTGCTGGGGTTTTGTTGCCCTCTCAGCCCGGGGAGGTCCTGACAAGCAGGCTCGAAGCAGTCTCCCTTAAAAATGATCTGAGTTGTATTGATCGAGGCATAAAATTAGACCTGCCAACCACTCTCTGACCAAAAACAGGAATTTTCCTCATAAACCTCCCTACAAAATAGGAGTTTGAGGAGAAAAAATCTCTGGAGTCTAAAGTACCATAAGATAATGTAATAAACTTAACAGTTTTCCATAAAACGTGTATAGCAAATACAGGCTAATAAAAATAGTATATTTTCACATTATTTAGCAAATATTGCAAACAATATATTGCAATAAAAAGATGTGTAATTTTCATGTCATTTACGATAGGTCGCGTATGTTCTGTGAAAAAGGAATTGAAGATAAAACTCAGATTTTATGCAATTCTTATGTGGGATCCTCATCGGGTTGTTGTTTTTTGGTTTTTTTAATCAGAGCTCCGATTTTATCGGCATACTTTGCAGGTCTGGTAAAATAATCTCATTTAATACGAAGCCAAAACTACTTGGACAATCACCTTTCAAACCTTCACAGACGACCGCTTTTCGCGCTCCCCCGTGGACAGAATTGACTGTAATTACAGTCGTCTTTGGGTTCTCTTACAGGTTCAATTGCCACAATTGTTTTAACACTCTTTTCTATAGGTGAGACAAATACTGGAGATTGTAAATACTGTCGAAATTGTCAAGAAGACAAATGGCCGTTTGAACAGGAGACCGTCACTTTTTTTTGTGTGTAAATGTTTTACGGCACTCGCAACTGCGTAAGGTCATACGAGGGCTGGTGGACCTCTAACACGGTGTCATTGAAATGTAAATAAAATGGTACGGGGTGAAACTGGAAGTCGCTGTTTGTATAGGTGATTGTATTATACAGGTGGCCGTTAGAGCATGTTTGATTGTTTATGGAAAAACAATGGTTTCTTATGAATGTTTGACTTTTACAGGTGATTGTATTACACAGGTGGCCATTACAGCGTGTTTGATTGTTTATGGAAAAACAATGGTTTCTTATGAATGTTTGACTTTTGCAGGTGATTGTATTATACAGGTGGCCATTAGAGCATGTTTGATTGTTTGTGAAAAACAATGGTTTCTTATGTTGTTAGCGATCCAGTAGCATCTGATCGTTAACTCTTCTGCATGATGCCATTCTGTAATAGCTGCATGTCTGTTCTAATTGTTGTCTTGAGGAGTAGAGGCAATTAGATGTGTGGGGTAGCTTGGGAAGAAAACATTCCCTTAAATCAGTTAGTTTTCTACAGAAGAACAGATGATGTTCCACTGTCTCTGAGGGGTAGTCACATAGTTGGCAGGCAGCAGACTGCTTTACTCCAATCCAGTTGAGATGTTGGTTGAGGGGTACATGTTGTGTTCTAAGTTGGAAGATTATGGATTGATCTCCCCTCTTCAACTCATTGATTGGATCTTTGACCAGTGGTTTATTCATGTGGCCAAACATCATCCTTCCTGTCGTACTTGTGGCCCAATCCTTCATCCAGTCTTAATGGTTTCTTATGAATGTTTGACTTTTGCAGTGAAAGACTGGATGAGCCCCACTTTGGTGCAAAAAGCCTGGCCCTGCAGGCATACTACCGTGGCTCCCTGGATAACATCACAGTCATGGTGATCAACGTGAAGCGGAAACGAGTACTGCAGAAGAAATTTGACGAGCACAAGGAGATTGTGACTGCTGCCCAGAGAACCGCTGGGGAGGAAAAGGAGGGGGCGGAGGAAAACTCACAGGAGTTGTAGCGTGAGGAGGGGTGTCATTGTTATGTGGAAATGTGGAAGTATGCTGTTTTTTATTGTTTTGTTTTTTTGTTTTTTTAGAATTTGTTGTTTGGTAGGGGATTTTTTTATTTTTTTTTATTTTTTTTTTTTTTTTGGGGGGGGGGTTGTTTGTTTTCTTTTGTGCCAGGGTGTTCTTCCTTCAGCCTACTGCATGTTTGGTTTGTATATCTGCACAGTGCTCTGGCTGAAGGCAAGTTGTAGAGTGGAACAAGGATATTATGGCATTTTTGGTTATGACTCTAAGGTGTGTGAGGCATCGTGGTGAAATCAGGCACTCATTAATATAATTAGGTAGCGTAAACACGGCCTCGCGGCTTTCCCAGTGCGTGGTCTCGCTGAAATCGGGGTAATTCAAATCGCTGTTTCTTTGCTTTTTCACTATAAAACACCAAATGCTGTACACCTAGGAACTTTTTCTCGTTACAATGGTGTAAGTTGTTTGTATATCCGAGTATTTGGAGCTGCCATTTTCTTAAAAACTGACTGAGAGGTAAAAGAATGTACCAAAATTCTCAGGAGATATAGGCCTTTTATATGGAACAGATAAATTTGGCATACAGCCACTTTGAAAATTTAGTTTCTGGTACCTAATATAATGAAATCAAGGATATCTGCATTTTTCCGCCAGTTTAGCAATTTATTTATTTTTTTGCTCAACGCCTTTTATGTCTATTTAAAATCTCCTAAACACATTCATTAAAGGCACAGGAATGTAAATTTGCAGTTTCCGTGGACTCTTAAGCTATAGAAGTTACCAATCAAAAACTGACGAGTGCCCGATTCCACCAAGCTGTGACACACATGTCGATTTGCCTCTGGTGTATGAATAGAAGAAAGGAGTAGAAGATGGATGCCAAGTGATCTCATAAATTGCATCCGACATAGTGACGTTTTGTGGTTTTAAAATGTTGTGGATGAACGTTTACCTATTCAAATCACACAAAAAGGGAGACAATGACCTCAAGTTGGGAACGGGTTTTCCTGACCCTGTAGTTTATGGAGGTGGAGGAAGTGTGAGCTAGCCCAGAGGTACGGTGCCCTTATGTAGTTGCCAGTGCTGTAAAACTCTTACTGAACTAAACAAGAGGCAGCATCTGCCCCTCCCAATCCAAAATATTCTCTTTGTTTCAGTATCTTTCCTCATTTCAACTGCTTCGTGTAAGGCCGGTCCCAGAGTGGCTCTATAGGTCTGACCTGTAGCTCGCCAAGCGCACGCAGTCTGGTTGTCAGCACAGCCACACTGTGCGTTGGCTTCTGTGTCTGAGTGAGCGCCCTCTGCGTGTCAGCACAGCCGTACTGTGCGTTGGCTTCTGTGTCTGAGTGAGCGCCCTCTGGGTGTCAGCACAGCCGCACTGTGTGTTGGCTTCTGTGTCTGAGTGAGCGCCCTCTGGGTGTCAGCACAGCCGCACTAGGCTAGGGGCACACAGGCCTACGAATGTAAAAAAAACGTCGAAACTAGGTCAACCTCTCGATTAAAAATTTTAATGTAGGATAAAGTGCATTTCTTGGGATATTGTGGTCAAGTGCTGATGCTAGCATCAATACCTAATAGTAAAGCACCTAATAATACTTACTTCTTTCTGATTTGGACGGTCTGCGAAGAATTTCAGTCAAAAATAAACAGGTAGCGAGGCTACATCACTCAGCTCAGCGGACGACAGACAGACCATACAGCGACTCTGCTCAGGCACACGATAATGTATACGTTCTTTTGCACGGTGCGAGCTACAGGTCAGACCTACAGAGCCACTCTGGGACCGGCCCAAGACTCTGCCCTTCGCAATTTTGAAAAGTGACATATGACAGAGTGTTTCACTTAACAGTTGATTTTCTGTTGCTATGGACACAAATTGTTTCCAAGTTTGGATAGAGTTTGAAAGGTGAGTGGTTAGCGGGTGCTCTGGTGTGGTGTGCTCTTTTTCTCCTGTAAAACATCTATTTTTCTTTAATCTCTCACTTTTCTTTTTTGTGTTTGTTACTCTCTTGCAACACCTCTAATCCTCGGTACTTGTATGACCTACTGTGTTGCAAGTGCCGTAAAATGCAAGACCAACTTGTGTTTCGCGCGCTCATATGACCTTACGCAGTTGCGAGCGTCGTAAAACCCTATACTACTACTACTGAAACAAAAACAAGTTTTGAAAGTGGAGATGTGAATATCTTTGCTGCTAGTGCCGCTTTCTTGCCTCTTTATGCTGTTGTTAAGTATTGTTAGGTCATCTGTAGCATTGCTTAGGAATTTCCAACCTTGTGCCCTGTAGAGGAGAAGAAAAGTGTGATACTATCCCCCTATCCCCCCCCCCTTCCCTCCCCTTTTCACCCCTCCCCTCTCTGCCTACTTATACAGACTTTTTGTTGACCGAGTGACGGCTGAAGACAACACCACCACCAACGACTGTGGTGTCGGTTATCGTATGATTGCATAATCTCCCCCTTTTGCTAAGACTTTTTCATCTGAATGAATGTAAGTTATAGTAAGTGGCGTCCCGTTATAAATATATATAGTGTTTGGTTGGTTGGGTGCTCTGGTAAAAAGCAGAAACACGGTTGTAAATGGATTCCTCCCTTTGGAATGTTTGAGAAGAGTCATTCCTTTTTTGGGGAGATGCGTGATTTTTACCTCTTCTACTTATCTATTGGTGCTGTGTGCCACTGTTCGTGTATAGCACAGTGGATTGTGGCCGATACACACCTGCCAGGGTCTCCGATAAAATCAGAGCCCTCTGATTTGTTACTGCCTTTTGAAGAACCCCGATCAGATCTACATAATTTTTTTTTTCTTTCAATTCCATTTCCATCTGTGGCACACGACTTTTTAAGTGAAGTGGAAGTACATTGGTGTCTTTGCAATATTTGTATGACTTATCATCAATGACGGGGAAATGCACATTTTTATTTGTTTGTATTTACTGTACACATTTTTTTGCTACTTTCATTTTGTAATGTTATCTTAGTCCACTTGGGTTCTCCAGATTGGTTGCTTTTTTTCTCCTCCAAATTCCTATTTTTCGGGCAGACTGGTAGGAAAACTCCTACTGTTCTTCGTCCTGGAGTGGTTGGCAGGTGTGCTGGTGCAGCCATGGCGAAATCTTGTTTCTGTTGCAGGTTGTGTTCATTCTGCATGCTCTTGTTGATACGTAATGGCGGAATCCGCCCCTCGTTGAAATGTATCATACATTTGTGACACATTACTGTGATTTGAGCATTTTGTGCTTGAATGTTCAAGATGGCTCTCAAGGCAGGCTTTTTCGTATATTTATAGGACTGCTGATATTATCTGTAATTGGTCCTCTGGGGTTTTGTTTGGTTTTTTCCTACACATTGTAATAAAGCTTATTCAGCAGTTGTTAGCCCGGTACCGTACTGAAACAGCAATCCATTTATCTATGCTATATTTAATCAATATCCACGCTAACCATGTGTCCGCCAAATTAGGTCAAATATATCTGTCAGTGAATAACACATGTGAGGTACCAAAAGACGCATTTGTTTGAACTGAGATATCAAGCTTCAAAGGTCAAAAATAGAATTTTTGACAAGAATTAAGTTCCATTAAAAATGGATTCTTTGATCTTAAATATATTTATATTTACAAGGACTTGAGTTTCTTTTACTTTAAAATACATTTTTAAATACGTTTTTTTTAATACAAGGGATATTGCATAATCCCCAAAAATGCGTGAAGAAATTGGTTTTCCAAGTACACACAGTACACTGTGGATGGTTTCTCTTGTCCATTCATAAAGTTGACCCAATCACAATGCATACCAAAATTTAAGTCATTCTCTCCCCTCTCTAATGGTGGGTAGTGCGCATGAATAACTAGAACATGTAAGCAAAACGAAGCCTTGCACATCCACACCCTTTTCGGTTTTGTTAGAGCAAACTTGTGTCACCTTTATCTGCCCTGCGCAAACCTTGATCTAATTTCTAGAAAATTCTAGAAACGTGGTGGTGAATTTGTTTTGGATACATAATATAAACAGTTTGAAGCTTTTCTTTTATCTTAGCTGCTTTTTAAAGTTGGTTTGTGAGCAGCGAATGTGTTGTCAGGTCGTCTCAAAGCTTAGATCTATCTATTTGAAGCAGAAACAAAGGGGAAACTTTAAAGCCGTTTTCCTCAAAATTTTGTTTCCGCATCCTGCCTTACAAATCTCAAAATCTACTGAAGATATCTTAAAAATTCAGAAAGCATATTGTTCAGAAATGACCTCTGTACATGACAAAGCAAAAAAATGGGATTCTTCAAAATGCATCATTTGGTACCTTTCACCAGGCACACACGCATATTCACAACTGTAGTTAGGTTTGGTGATACTATAATTTTTGTAATGATTTTTTAAAATCCACTCTACCACTCTACACAAAATTTTTAGCAGTTCTGGATCATGATAAAAATGAATTTTAAAAATATTTTTAAAAATACAAATTTGGCAGATATGTGGTTGGTGCCAGACACTCACAATTTGCTTTTCAAAGCAGTCGGTTGCCTCTGTGCTCTCTGTACAAGTCGTATCAAAAAAACTTTTCTTCTTCTGTGTTTGTCATGCACGTCTGTTTATGGTGATGTTCCCTGTGCTTGTGTGTGATCTGTTAAGACTTACACAACGTTAAACCCGGATATGCCATAAAATTCTTACAAAACTGGGAAGTCTGGTGCAGCACCTGTGTCTGCAGTGTAACTGTGTTGCATGCAGAAGACATACGTTCAACTCCTGCTTGGGGAGTTGTTTCAACAAATATTTCTCTGATTGGTCAATGTGTCCCTGTTGGTTAGTGTTGTTCCTTACAACAGAAGGGATAGAAGCAGCCTGCCTCCTTGTTCTTCCTAAGTGTGTTGATTGGGTCGAACATTTACAATTTCAATGACCAAAGTGAGGCTTTCATTGAATTCATAAAGGTCTAAATGCAGGGGCAGACTTTTGGGGGTTTTAAAAAATGTTTGTTGTATATCTCATGAGGAAAATGGGGAAGTTTAACCTGCAAGGCAGAATCCTAGGATTTTTTTAAATTAAACGCTCACGTCCATCGTTATTAATTAGTAGTTGATGTGCAGACATATACGCAAAGCAGCAGAACAATGTGATATTGAGGGTATCGGTCTGACGTGAGCCTGCCATGAAAATCCCTGATTCTTTCCCTTTGCGTCTGCTATTGAATTTGAATGTTATGGCTGGGGGGGGGGGGGGGGGTTGTGCTATTGGTCTTTCTTTGGCAAGAGTATGTCTGCTTATGAAGAAGATCATTTTGTTTTTAGATCAATCTATTTTTCGGCAGACAGCATTGGTGTGAATTATCATTTTCAGAGAGAGAGTTTGTGATGTTGAAGCTAGAGAGGTGAGAAGAGTAAGCCTGATTCCCTGTAAGGACTTCTCTTTTGACATCCACCCCTTGGCGCTCATATGACTT